ACATTTGTTTCGATCCACCTAAAACTGTGCTAGGGCTTTGTGTTACTGATCTGAGAAGTTTGATTGATTAATCTTTAATAGATTTTGTTTAATCACGAATTTAAGGCTTGATTAATTCTTGTCACCATCTGACACAGTGATCTTGTTTATTATATCTCGAGTTCTAGATCTCAGATTGACGTGATTCCTGTTAGGTCAGTTCAAGAATTTCATATATTTTTATCTGTAAAAGTTTTGGTCAAAATTATTTTAAGTAAAGGTGCAGTGTTCTGTCCAGAACATAAAACGAGGTTTAATTTGGTTTTTTGTTTCGGGGGAAGTTTTAAAATTAGTTTTTGTCTTCCACAATCGTTCACCCTTCCTCTGATTGCCTATCTGAGTGTGAATCGATCATACAAATTGTATATGAATCATGCACTAAATTAATCAAAGTTTTGACATGTATATTTTCGAAGGCTAAAAATCCTCATCATGACATGAAACATACATCTCTATGATAAGAAATCTGAACCAAACTGTGGGCTCCCGATAGGGCCATGTCGCCCTTGTCAACGTAGGGTGTGTTTGATTGCTAGATGAAAGCTCTATCGTATATCTGGATGAGATGATGTATATCTGGATGAGCTGATGTATGCTAAGTTGAAATGCATTTTAGTAAAGAGTGTGTGGTCAGGATGTATGAGTGGATATAAATAATACCGAGATGTTATTTGGTTACATGTATGAATCAATGCAATCTGTTGGGCTTGTGAGGCTGAAGTGTGGATTGCCCGAATCCGATTCCATCAGAACGCAGATGCTAGTGTTTCCGTTTTTGCACGTGTTTGCGTGGGGAATCCACTGATCTATTGTGGAAATTTTCTTGTCCTATATGGCTATATTATTCCGAGTTCTAGGTCGTTTGACTAGGAAGCTCAGATCCATCCTATTCGTGGATCCCTGCTGACTTTCACCAAGTTGTGTTCAGCATAGTAGTATATGCATATTTTATATATATATAAGATCAGGTTATCTCTCTTGGGAATTGCTATCCAATTGAAGGGGCAGTGGCCCACCATACATATAGGTCATGTTGGCCCCATAGAAAGTGAAAAAAAAGTACTCCCTGTCTTGTATAAATAGATTCTTAGCTTAAAAATTTATCCATAAATAAATCAATCATTAGGGGTTGAATGGTCCACTAGCCTATTTATTTTTTTCAAAGTCTCCTCACATTTACTGCACCTTCTCTCATCTCACAATCTAGTATTTTTTTATAGGTACAATTCAGTGTTGAGTTTCTGCAATTGGATGTTTGTAATAAATGTTATAATTAGTATGCTATTGGAACAATCACTGGTCAGTGTGCAATTACTCAGTTAATAAAGAATAGTATGGTCTTTTCTTAGTGATACTAATCTGTCCTTAACTTGCTAGGATTCTATTTATTGAGAAATAGAGGGAGTAATTGCTTGTTACGAATGTTTTAATAGAATCGTGCATACTCTGCTCCTAGAATCGTGCATGCATGTACGTGCATTCCCATTGGCGCTATTTTTTAATGAGAAACGACAATATGAGATATGATATGCAAATAAACTTATTACACTATGTTGACTTCGAAATGGATCGCGGATTATACACCAACAAGGGCTAGAACAACGTCCGAGGTCGCACACAACCTATCACACACAGTGACCAAGGGATTGGTTAGGCTGACTTGGAGACCGTCCTTCGCCCATAGAGCTCAAGAACATCTCCCGCAAAGACCCGTCGGGATATGGATGTCGATATTGTTCTAGGGTCGGCAAGGTCACCTAGAACGCCACTGGATCTTGCAGAGAGACACACAACGAACCGCAAGAGAATGGAAAAGTAGGGCAAAAGGAGTAGTAGATGTAAAGAGAATCGATTGGATGTTTGATCTCTCAATCGACTATGATCCTCTGATATATATACAGGGGATGGTCTTATCCCAGTAGGAAATATATCCCAAACACGTTTTGCAGGTTTTTCAAGTCAAAACTTGAACTAGAACACGAAAACCGGCCAAGCTGGTTTCCAAACTGGCCTGGCCAGTTTTGTCGATCTCAGACAGGCAGTAGCTGTGCAACAAAGAGAAACTGGCCAAGCCGGTTTTGGTTTTAGCATGCTTGGCACAAAACTATCCTTTTGTCCTCTGGACTTCCAAATGCGACGATCCAAAATGATTCTTAGGCATTTTGACACTAGAAACGTCGTTATGAAGTCCTCTTTAGGTCTTGGTCATTTTTGGCTATCAACACACTACTGTAGAATTAATTTTCAGCAACGGGTACTTTTTTGTGTAGGGTTGCTCAATCTTTAACCACCTCTACAAATTGGTCCGATCTGAGCCGCCACTAAAAATGCATTTGGAGTACGCGGTTGTTATTTTCAGCTGCCTCCACAAATGCCCCTATTTTTAGACATGGCTCTATTTGTAGTCGTCTCTACAAATAGATTTTTAGAGGTAGAGCCGCCATTAAAAATAGGAGCAACATAGTAAATTTTGAGTTTTTCAAATTACATTTGATGGAGAAATGACAAAACTAAGTTGTGGATCTCGAAGAGTTAGAGCGTCTCCAAAAGCCTTTCTAAATCTCACTCTCTAAATCATCATTTAGATAGTCATTTGCATATAAATCGCTTTCTATATCTTTTCACCCTACAACAGTTTTTCTATATCTCATCAGCACTCTAGAGAGCTATTCTCGTCTTCTATTTTTGGCTAGCGAAAAATCCAGAACAGAAGATGGCTATATTTAGATAACCATTTAGAAAAGCTGTTGGAGGCTATTTTTTTACCAAAATCTCTATTCCTAGCATTTATGAAGGGTATAGAGACTCTCTTGGAGTTGCTCTTATACAACTTTTTTGTTGACAACTTTTTTTATTTGAAATCATCTATCTAAGGAAAATTACTTTTGAATTTCTCATATTTGAAATTCAAGTTTTTCAAATGCCTCGGATGGAGAAACGACCAAAACTAAAGTTGTAGATCTCAAAAAGTTATACAATTTTGTAGTTGACAACTTTTTTCATTTGAAATCGTTTAGGGCTCTAAATACTCATTTTAAAATCAGGTAAAGATAAAATGAGGGAAAAAAATCTCAAATAGTCACAAATGACTTATGGACGAATGGTTCGGGAAGACACATGCGAGGCATCATGTTTTTCATGCGAAAAATCATGTGACTGTGACTGCCTAGTGGGGCCTCCCCAGATGTAAATGGAATTGTTATTTTTTGGGTCTAGATTTATGATTTCTGGATAACAATTTATAGATTTCTTGGTTCTTCTCAGCCGCCTCTGCAAATTATTTTTTGGTTCTTCTCAGCTGCCTCTGCAAATTCGATTTGTAGAGGCCGCCTCTACAGAGCTTTTGCATAGTCGTGTACTCCCTTGGTCTCTAAATAAGTGTCGATCTCGTTTTTCGAGGAGTCGAGCACTTTTTACTTTGATCAAATATATACAAAAAAAAAGAATATTAATATTTATAATACACAATTAGTATAGTTAGATAGATCGTTGATTCTATTTTCATAATAAACATTATTTAGGAATACAAATGTTGCTAGTATTTTCTACAAATTTAGTCAAACTTAAGAAAGTTTGATCGGTACGAATATCATTATGACACTTATTTAGGGACGGAAGGAGCATTGAAGATGCAATCTTTAAAAAATATTGAGTGGCAGTATTGTTTTTTAAAAAAAATCGCCCTCGACACTTCTGATTTCTGAACGCCAGCTGATTAAATTAGCTAGCCTGCATGTGCATTGATTTAATGTTCCGTGCAAGTCAACCCATGGACTTGTTCGCGAATCGAAGCGCAAACGTGATAGAAGATTAGATGGCATGTGGTTCCTTTATATATAATTTCTAGCAAGTACTGTAGTACTCCGCAAGCATCACTGACACATACAGTATACCTGCTAGATAACTGGGTGGCAGCCGGCTTCGAGCTGAGCATACCCACCAGTTGGAGCTTTCTTGAGAGCATTCGAGAGTTGTAGCACTAGGTTGTGGGGGATGAAGCAAGGAAGGCGCGGAAGTAAGAAGCATGGGAGCGGACCGGCGGCGCTGTGGCTCCTGCTGCCTCTTCTAGTTTTGATAGTGCTCAAGACAAATCTCCTGCCACAGGTTGCACGCTGTAAGTCACCGCTTCAGATCAAGGATGGAGAGGAAACATATCTGTCCTTGATCAGTTTTTGCTTAATTTGTTACTTGTTTCCTAGCTAGTCAGCCCGTCGTTACCACTTCTTTTCAAGAATGCATATGATGAGTTCTTAGGAATCGCACGGTACTTTGTGCTGATGGTGGAGATCCTATCCTATAAGGCTTAGGAAGCATGAATTTGCATGGTTCCACACGCATGGAAATGTCCAATGCTGCTGAGCGCATTCAATTAAGCTAGTATTTTCATTTTATGGAAATATATAAGTTTTTAAAGCTAGCGCAGATCATGGTTCGAATATTTGATGACAGTGACACATAGCGCAGTTAAGCAGCTGTATACATAGGATATATATATACTAGGGATGATACACACAAGGAGTGATCAATTGTCCACCTAATTTTTTCATACAAGTGAACTGGATGTAATATGTAGGATATCAGACGACCATGTAACGCTAATAAAATGTTACCTTTGCAAATAAGGAGACCAGATTTCCCAAAGTCATGGCTGAAATGGTTCACAAGCATCCATTCTTTCGTTTGCTGAGCTAAGTTTGTACACGGAACACTTTTGCATACGTAATCTAAATTTTGACAGAGTGGAATAGTTCACCTCTGTATTCATGGTATGGATAACAAAAAGATGGCAGCAGAAGCAGTTAGAAGCAAAGCAGCTGTAGAATATTGTCAAAGATCTGGAAAGAAAAAACAACTGTACTACGTCAGTTATGTTATGTTAGTGGTGTTTCACTTGTCTTCCTCGATATGCATGTATTAACAAAAATACGTGCCATGTGGCCTTCCATTCAAATTCAGATTCGATGCTCGGGTCACCACCTTCTGCGGCATCAACATCAACACACGGGATGACCAGCAACGTCGATGCGACGAAAGGTAATTAGTTACTATACATTTTCTGCAGAACCAAAGGCCACATGTGCCAGGACGACTAATAATACTACATTAGTTCGTACGTACAATGCAGTGCCGCCTGCACGCACTACTTGCATTATATTGCTACGGAATACGGATCACCACTGATCCAATAATGACTTTAAGGACTCTTTCTCTGATTTAATTTGCAGCTCATTCATTATCTAAAAAATTAATTAAATTTAATTTAATTTGCAGCTGTGGCAGCACCGCCAATAATAAGCAGCAAGTTGACCTGCAACTTCAGCAATCATCAGTCCAACACCTGCAGCATGGAAGGCGACTTGCGCATCCATAGCAAATCCGCCACTGTGTACGTCGTCTCGGCGTCCACCTACCGTCCGGAAAATGCGACGATCAAGCTCCGCCCGTATGCACGAAAGTGGGAGGACCAGGTGATGATGCTGGTTCGTGAGGTCACCATGCGGTCCAGTCCGCCAGGCGGTGCCGACGACCCACCACCACCCCAGTGCTCGGTTCGGCACGACGTGCCAGCAGTGGTTTTTTCTACCGGCGGCTACAACAGGAACTTCTTCCACGTGATGACCGACGTGATCATCCCACTCTACCTGACGGCCCGAGAGTACAATGGCCACGTCCAGCTGCTCGCCACCGACTACGAGCCCAAGTGGATCGCCAAGTACAAGGCCATCCTCGCCGCACTGTCCAGCTACCCAGTCATAGACTTGGACTCTGAGTCTCAGGACACCGTGCGCTGCTTCCCGTCGGCTCATGTCGGGCTGGAGAGTCACAAGGAGCTGGGCATCGTCCCGGGTCTCTCCCACAAGGGCTACACGATGGTGAGCTTCCGGGACTTCATCCGCTCCGCCTACTCGCTGCAGCGGCCACGGGTGACGCCCGTGAGCAGGAGCGCCGGGCGGAAGCCTCGGCTCGTCATGATCCTGCGCCGCAACTCGAGGCAACTCAAGAATGAAGCCGACGCCATCGCCGCCGCGGCCGATGTCGGCTTCGAGGTGGTAGCTGCGGGACCAGACGACGTCAGTGACCTGAAGCGGTTCCCCGGGGTGGTCAACTCCTGCGACGTGCTCATGGGCGTGCACGGTGCTGGGCTGGCCAACATGCTGTTCCTGCCTCACAACGCCACGGTGGTGCAGATCATCCCGTGGGGCGAGATCAAGTGGGCGTGCCGGCATTCCTACGGAGACCCCGTGCCAGACATGGGACTCCGCTATCTCGAGTACGAGGCCACGGCGGAGGAGACCTCCTTGAAGGACAGCTACCCCCGCGACCACGCCGTGTTTACCGACCCGCTCTCCATACATCGCCAGGGATTTGACAAGATGTGGAACATCTTCATCAACGGACAGCACGTCATCGTAGACATCGACCGATTCAGAGGGTTCATGAAGCAACTGTACCAGTCCATCACGACGGAGTAGAGTAGGCATCAATAATTGGGTGGTTGATGTGAGATGATAAATGTGCAATTTTCTGCTCTTCTTTTTTCTGGATACTCAGGTTACCTAATTAAATACTACTCTCTCAATTCTAAATTGTAGCTTATTTTGGTTTTATCCTATGTCAAAAAATTAATTTTACCCAAGTTTATAGAAAAATAAACAAACATCAACATCCAATTAGCTTGATTAATCTTTATGAAATATATTTTGATATAGCATTTATTTGAACTAGCTAACAATCGACATATTTTTCTAAAAACGTCATTAAACTTAGGCAAATTTGACTCTGGGATAAAACTAAAATGAACTACAAGAGCAGTAGTTGTAAAATGCTCAGAATTATTGAGATGTACCAAGACTGCGAACACAAGTTTTTTCTTAACTAAAAAAATCAGGAGAGGCGTAGTGTGGAAAGAAAAAAAAGAACAAGACTTCAAATTTAGTTTTTGAGCATCAATGGCAGGTGCTCTGCCTTTTCATATAGTTGTGAGAGAGAGTATGGTACAAAACTGTAAGAAAAGGAATAGAGGAAGGATAGACAAGGTTACTGGTAGAACAACGAAAGAAAAAAAGAGAATAAGTACATACCCTCTCTGTCCCAAAAATAGATGACGTTTTCGCTTCCGGAGAAGTCAATTTTTTTTAACTTTGACCAATTATATATAAAAGAATATTAATATTTATAATTCATAATTAGTATTATTTGATAGATCGTTGAATATACTTTCGTAATAAACTTATTTGGAGATATAAATGTTGCACATATTTTTTACAAACTTAGTCAAAGTTAAGAAAGTTTGACCTACACATATCCCATAACGTCATCTATTCTGAGACCGAGGAAGTGGAGCTGGCAGGGATCACGTATATCATCTTTTATTGCCGCAAGGAGCTGCTTTTTTATTTTGCGCTTTATTGTCAAACACCCTTCTGATCTTTCCTTCCACAGATTTCAAGTTGTGTAGATGATGATTGTTGCTCACAGTCACAGGTTAAGTGCGTTACCTACGCTCCTCTTCTTGAGTTTAGGCTTATCCACCGGTCACTGATCTTCGCCATAGCTTGGTTTAGTTGCAGTCCCTGTTGTCCTGACCAGCTTTTCACTTGGTGCCAAATCGCTTTTGCATATGAACAATTCGCAACCATGTGGGTGTGATTCCTGTCTTGTCTAGCAGAGTTTATTTATAGATTAGATTTGCCTGGCCTCCCTTATTGATGACTAGGTTCATGCCCGTGCGTTGCTACGGGACAACTAATTTTTTATGGTAAAAATATACGGATCGCACGATAAGATAACAATACTGTGAAATTAAATACCAACGTTAAAGTGACATTTAATCCAAAAAGCAACGTTTGTGAAATTAACAGTCACGGAGAACACGGCGTCACAGGCTCACAAACTATACTGTATAGATATTTTCGTGATGCGGCTAAAATAATGTTTTATATCAGCAAGAAGAAATCATCATTGCAGCAAACACTATGCCATTAGCTTAATAATCAGAATACAAATATTCTACAAGAATAACCATAGCACCAAGTATTCAAATAGAAAAGAAACAGAATACATCTAATTGCCGAAGATGCATTGATCTTTGCCCATGCTAACCTCTTATATTGGCTTGTGTTTTGCTGTGCAATCTTGTGGCGCCTCTAAATTCTGGAGTGACCAAGCTGAATCCACTAATAACCAAGTATATTCGTGGCTTCTGATCTAAGGTGTGACCAAACACTATTGAATAGGCACACTGCCAGGACATCCGAGGATGTGTTTCAAGTTCCACGGAAGAGACATACCTCTTTGAATAGGCACAACAATGTCTTGAAGGTTGTTCGTAAGAAATATGTAAAACAATGTAAAATCCTTCACTACATAAATTTTGCAATCAAGATATTCAGAAAGAGCTTGCTTAATATATTCATCACAAAATCTGCAAGTTGAAGTTCAGTCTCACTACCAGTTTTCAGATTAGCAAAATAGTATTTTCAGTGTTGATTTATGACTAAGTCAGAAGAAATATATGTTATAGTGCCATATTTGAAAAATGGGTCCCAGAAAGATAATTGACAAATCAAACCCCACATAAAGAAGAAGAAAACAAATACTCCCTCAGCTCCATTTTATCTGGCACAAGTTAGAATGACACGGTCTCCTAGATTACACTTTGACCATTCATTTGTTTTATATTATGTTATCTATATTTATAAACTTATAATCATTGGATAGTATAATTCCTTACAAATCTAATCATATAAAGTTTGTATTATAATAGTTAAAAAGTATTAGCGTAATTATTGGTCAAAGTTTTTAGAGTTTGAATCTTGATATGCGTGTGCGCCAGATAAAATGGACAGAAGGGAGTAAATCACTAATTGTAGCACAACACATGCCACTTCAAGTTAATGAAGTAATGCAACAGATGTGCTAATAAGGCGCAAACAACTGATAACAGTCTTATAGCAGGTTGAGACTAAAGAAATGATGCCAGACTGGCAGTAGACTCCACAATGCTTGGGGACCATGGAGTGAATAAAAAAATTAAGATAATAAAAACTTGGATAATGATTAAAGGCGCCATGATTAAAAAGGATGAAGCACAAATGATTGTCAAAGCAACGTAATACATGTTCACCGATCAACTATTAAGCAAAAGTTACTTGAGAAAAACATAAAACTTGGGCAGAAGTTACTTGAGAAGAACATAAAACTGTGGAGCAAGCCCGAGTTACTTGAGAAGAACATGTCTATAATTACAGCATCTTGAGGAAATGTCATGTCTATGCAACCAATTCAATAGGCCAAAGATCTATGATTTACTGTTAAGTTCTAATCATCGTATGCAAATTCGGTGAATCCATTAGATTCAATATAATCTAACATGAACTTGTATACATACGTAGCAGCTCGAAGTTGAAAAAAAAGACATTACCATATTAGCTCTAGAACCTTTTAGGTCACCAAAAGATTGTTCTGAATTGGTAGAGTTATAAACCGAATTATAGAAGATTCTGTGAGGCATATCCAGCAGGAAATAAGGCAATGGAAGCTCCAAGGGAAGAGATCCATAGCTATGGGCATCAAGCTTCAATCTGGTAGTGGTGATTTGAAAAACAATGACATCAAAAGCTACATTCTTTCATCGATTCAAATACCATTGTGGAATAAGTATCTGAAACCTAGGCTTATTGATCTTGGATTAAAGACCAAAATCACACATACAGGTTGGACAAAAGGAACAGGTAAAATGTGGCAAAATACCTTCAATTTTTCCGACATCCAGGCACATATTGTCGCAGCGAAGGTGCTGCCTAATAACCAATTGGATAGCAATTGGAGGTGGCCAGCACAGCATGTAGTGCACGGCAGTGGGGCACAGATGGCGTACGTGTGTATACGACCTGGCGGATCCGCGACAATAGATCAGATGCATGCATCAGAGCAGATCCTGCACCACTTCCTTAAATAATGCTTTACGATCTCTGCAAAGTATACTGATAGCAAGAAAATGTAAGTAAATTAAAAAGTTTGAGCGATGTAGAAGCAGAAGTTTGCACATAAAATGGTACCAGGATCTGTCTCAAATATAGCTACTGGAACAGCAAGCTCGCTCACTGGAGAGTGCCCAAAATATTTTACGAAAGTCAACCATGGGCAAGATAAATATAGATAATCGATCTCGCTTAATATTCTACAAGAAAACTAATTAGAAATTGTTTCAAATAGGAAATAAATCATTGGATGTTCCTCCAGCTGCTGAAAGTATCACATGAAGGGTACCAGCACGGACGTTTGAAAGATCATGATAAACATAACATTAGCAATTATCCCAATCTAAAGATGTGTAGACTGCAGAACTAAATGATTTTAATTATTGGAACACTTCAAAACTTACTTGTGCTGCCCAACAACGATGTATAGGCAATGCAGTCCTCTGTCTTTAACCATGGAATCTCCAAGGAATTCAGCAAGTCTTTTTACTATAGTCACAGCGCATGACCTCGATCAGCTTTCCATAGTCACTAAAGATTTACTCATCGTGCTGGACTAACGGATGAAATGAAATCAAGTAAATCACTGCAGAGAATATATTTGGTTGGGTTGATAAGCTGATTGAGTTGTTGATTCTTTGGAGAATATAAAGTTAACTGTAGAAATCACGTACATCCAGTAGAGATTTATTTGTAAAGTGGTACGTATATAGAGATTGAGTTTGTCATTACTTTACTAATTTTTGAGTTTGTCATTACTTTACTTATTTTTCTATACTTGTGATAGAATCATAGAACTGTGAAGCTCTACTGCCGTCTACCGACAGACTCGATTGCGTAATTTAGGAAGCAATCACATATATGCTGCAAACACTGATGACAATCTAGAAGAGAAATTTTCAGCGGAGGTGAAAAAAGGAGAAAAGCTTTGTGCCTCGTTGATCAATCGATGATTACCTAAATCTTGGCGCTGGGGCCGGTCTGCATGGTCGCCCCGGCTGCAAGCATGGCCGCGAACTCACAGCTTATCGTCATGTACTGTTCCTTAGAGGAGGAGTGGTGGTCGGTGTTGGTGTCCCGGGGGGGGGGGCTCATCCTCGGCAGGTCGGGCGTTAGAGGGTGGATGTCGCGGAACGTTGCGGCCTCCTTGTCGGCATCATCGGTGCTCGGAGCCGAAGGCATTGTCATCAGCGGCGGGGCTTGCGTTGGTGCTTGCTGGTCATGCTGGGCTCGAGCCTCTCCGCGCCGGGCACTGCTGGCAGCAGTTCACCGAGCCTCGTAGCGCCGGATCTCGAAGGGCACCGCACCAGATCCACGAGCTGGCATTGCTGGCCCCGCCCGAATCCACGATCCGACGTACGTCAAAGCGGGGAACGGCGAGGTCGACGGCACGGGGAGAGGATGCGGCGGCGGCACGGCAGGGAGGAAGAGGAGGCGAGGCTTCTCGCGGCAACCTCGATCCGACGAACGGCGAGCTAGGGGATGTCGCG